GTGAGAGAGAGAGAGAGACAGAGAGAAAGGTCTTCCTTTGCCGTTGGTTCACCCTCCAATGGCCGCCGCGGCTGGCGCACAGTGCTGATCCGATGGCAGGAGCCAGGTACTTCTGGTCTCCCATGGGGTGCAGGGCCCAAGCACTTGGGCCATCCTCCACTGCACTCCCTGGCCAGAGCAGAGAGCTGGCCTGGAAGAGGGGCAACCGGGAAAGAATCCGGTGCCCCGACCGGGACTAGAACCCGGTGTGCTGGCGCCGCAAGGCAGAGGATTAGCCTAGTGAACCGCGGCACCGGCTCACATCTACTTCTGATTCAGCTCCCTGCTAATCTGCCTGGGAGGCAGCAGATGATGGCCCAAATACTTGGGTTCCTGTCATCCATATGGAGGACCTGGATGGAGGTCTTGGCTCCTGGCTTCAATCTAACCTAACTCCAGTGCTCATGCTGGTTTGTTCTCTATCCCTTCCTCTCTCCCTCTCTCTAGGATTCTGCCTTTCAGGTAAATGAAATAATAAATAAGTCTTTTTTAAAAAGCATTTTAAAAAACAGAAAAACTGAGTTAAAAAGTACAAAAAGTATTTGAAACCCAGATATAGTTTTTTATAACATATATATTTTATAAGTTTTTTGAAGACTCAGCATGTGCATGTATGATACACATATTACATATAACATGTGCACATATACATACATATGCTATGATTTGAATATCCTCTCCAAAACTCATGCTAAAATGTAACTGCCATTGTAACAGTAGTAAGAGGTGGAAATTTTAAGAGCTGATCAGTCTGTTCTCAGGAATGAATTAATGGCATTGTTGTGGAAGTGGCTGTGTTATGACATTGAGCTTCACTTCCAAGGTTCTCTGTTGTACTCACCCTCTTACTGTGTCTCAGGAGTGCACATATACATCTCCCAGGGCTCTCTACCACATTATCATGCAGCAAGAAGCCCTTCACCCAAGGCCAATCCTGTGATCTTGGTCTCCAGACTCCAGAATTGTCAGAAATAAATCTATTTTCCAAGAGATAAATCTCTGTTCTTTCTAACTTACTCAGTCTCAGACACTCTATCATAAGAGCAAGAAGTGGACATAGACAACATGTATTTGAAAACTTCTGCCTTGGTAGCTAATCATTCACCAGTTACTTCAAGATAGTGTTTTTTGTGTGTTTGTGCCCAGCTTTACAATGATGTCTGTGGCCATTTTAATGCTTTACCAACAATAAAGGTTAGAACTAGAAATCAGTAAACATTGCCTAATTCAGACAAATATCACAAAATCTACACATTGATTAAAAGTCTGCGCACTTTCTTTGCGAGGCTGGTTTCAGGCCTGCCCTCCTGAATGAGCCTGTTATATAAATGATGGTTCCCACCTCAAGCCATTCCTTCCTCCTTGCTAGTGCAAAAGCTCTTTTTGTTCAGTCATGGAGTCCTCATCTGAGCCAGGGATAGACATCCACTTGGGAATTCGCCAATTGTGTTGGGCAATTGGAGTAGAGGGATTGGGTTCTTATGATCCCCACTGAGCCAATGGAAAAACATTCTTGCAGTCATTTTAATTTGAGATGACTCATTATGTTAAATAACACAATTTCCTTTTTGTTCACAGAAGTTCATTGCAGGTTTTTCTCTTATTTGAAATAAAATAACAATAACTCATCTGACGCTTATTCAGTGTTCTTTGCTGTACAATTTAAATCAATTTGGTCACCTACTCTCCAAGACTAAAACATAATCAAGTAATGAATTTAATAGGAAGAAGTAGCAGGGCTTTTAGGAACAGTAAGGACAGCTGATGACCTGGACACAAGGAAATGGACTTCTAACATAAAATAGAAAAAAGAAAAAAAAATTTTTAAAAACCCTCTAGATCATTTATATTTGGAGCACACATTGCAAAAACCCATGAGACCAATGTATTAAAGAGCAGAACAATACTGAAATTATTTTAAATAATTTTTTATCTAGACTGATAATTTATGTAACAATCTCTATTTAAGGATTGAGTCACAACTATCTTGCTAGAAGCACTCATTCACTGAGTTTCACATATCTTGGCGTTTACTCTGCATGTATACCAGAAAGCATTGCTAAGACACCCACTTGCCATTCAGTGGTTGTTGTGCTGAGTCCACACAGCACAGTGATTAGGGGCCGGCGCTGTGGTGTAGTGGGTAAAGCTGTTACCTGCAGTGCCAGCATCCCATATGGGCGCTGGTTTAAGTCCCGGCTACTCTACTTCCAATCCAGCTCTCTGTCATGGCTTGGGAAAGCGGTGGAAGATGGCCCAAGTCCTTGAGCCCCTGCACCCACATGAGAGGCCTGGAAGAAGCTTCTGGTTCCTGGCTTCGAATTGCCACAGCTCCTGCTGTTGCCGCCAATTGGGGAGTGAACCAGCGGATAAAGACCTCTCTGTGCCTCTCCTTCTCTCTTTGTGTATCTCTGAGTTTCAAATAAATAAATAAACCTTTATTTTTTGAAGTGATTAGATCCTGAGGGCAGTCACAAAACCCCCAGTTAACTCCAAATGGACCTGAATCATGCTGGGAGCCATGGCAGGATTAGGACAAGAGATGATGATAATGTCCCCCTTTGGAAACGATGGTGACAATCCAGAGGACAGACCACTGTTGAACAGCTCAGAGCAGCAATTCACTTTCTAACAATGATTGCCATGCAGCAGAGAACAGGCTCCCCCCATACACTGCCTACACAGCTCTGGATGGTGCAAAGTGAGACTTCTGCGCAGGAGAACCAGTCACAATTGGGACACTAGAGACATGAACTTTTAGGTCTCTTCCATTTTGATTTTTAATTTTCCCATGTCCCTGTGGGTTCTGAGAGATCAAGAAGAAGCTATGAACTGTGGCTGCCATGTTCGTCTATCAGTAAGATGGCTGGTGGCAGACACATCCCAATCCCAGTGTAATCGTGCTGCTGCTTGAAACCCCCAGACAAGCATTCCAAGATGCCATCACAAAGGGCAGAAGTGTGGACAGGACAGTTTGGTGGCTTTTGGTGGGGGAACAGAGATGCATGCACCATTGCTAGCTAAAGGAACATATTTCCCCTCCAAATCCTTTGTGTGCTACATCTTCCTTCTGTGAGATTCCTTGTGGCTGAAATCAGTGATGCTTCCTCAGAACACTAGGGCAGACCCTCTTCTCTCCTTTATATTAATAGTCCCCTTCCATATCATTCTGTAGTTTCTGTGGATATGTCTTCTCTTGCCTACTAGGATGAAAGATCCTAAAAGAAGGATTTATGAGTCTTGTTAAAGATAGTAGGAACAAGATAGACTGGAATTTTCCCTGTTTCCCTGTAGAAGCTGGTCAGTTCGTTGAAGCAACTGGACAAAGGTACCAAGGATGAGTTTTGGAATTAATAGCTTTTATTCAACATTAATTCATTCATGTATTCAGCGAGCATGGACAGGTGTCTGCTCTGTGTCTATTGTGTGTTGATATTGGGCTGGATCCTTGGGGAGGGAAGTATCTAACAAGGATTAGACAAGATCTTTTGCCTCCAGAATTCTCTGGCTGATAATGGAGACCATCATTTTGTCTGACCCTCAGCATCAACTCAGAGCTGGAACTTGGAGTTGGGACATGTCTGGTCACTCAAATGAGATATTATACTGTGACAGACCACCTGAGGCAAGCAAAGCAAATTTCTGCTTCAAGTCACTTGATTTTAGAAGTTCAGACCTATATGAAGGTATCATGGTCTTATTGAATGTCTCTAGAAATAGAGGCATGTCACCTGAGGTGTCACTGTCCCTGAACATGGAGGCATTCAGAAGAGAGAGCTTAGGGTAGAAAATCTGAGGAAAAGCAGGCCACTGATGCTCCTTGTAGTAGACATGAACACAGGGGCCACATCCAGCCTTCCCAGTCTGAATACCATCTTCTGTGTGGTGTTAATGGTAATTTAACATCTCTGAACCTTAGTTTCTTCATTTGGAGCTGGGAATAACAAAAGAAACTTTCTCATGGTTATGAGGGGATTCAGAGAAGTAATATAGGTAAGGGGCTCAGAACTAGGAGTTACCATTATTCTGTTGTCTGAACTGGGAGTGGATCAGGGCTGGGATCCTCCAGTATCACTTATACCAGAAAGGTCAGTCCTTTCACCATAGAGACACAAGTCAACCTCTCAACCAGTATGTCAACACTTCCCAGTGAAGGTTGACCACCAAAAGGGGAGTAAGTGAATTTCCAATCCCTTCCAGTTCCAACCAGGGGGCTTCCTAGAGGACAGAACTCAATCTCCATCCAGGTCTCCCGTGGTGGATGGAAGGGACCCAAGTACTTAATCCACAACCTGTTGCCTACCAGGGTGTGCATTAGCAGGAAGCCAGAATCAGGAGCAGAGAGCCAGAACTCAGAGTCAGGTTCTCTAATACAGGATGTGTGCATCCCACATGGCATCTTAACTGCTAGGCCAAATGTCTGCCCATGTTTCCCCTTTGAAAGCCTGACTTGTAGATCTTTCACCCTCAGAGCCCAGCTTGAATGTCACCCACTTCATAAATACATTGCCAAAAGTCTTATTTGGAAGATTTGCCTGAGGCACATCTCTCTGTTCTTTTGGTGTATTATTCATATTGGTTTGTTCTATTTTATAATCAGTGCTACAGCCAAGTGGATTCTCAATAAATGGCTCTGAACGAATGAATGGCAGGGACGGTTTCTAGCAGGCTGTTTTCCATCTAGTGAATCTGAAAAGTCTACCATCTCTTGTATATTAACACACTCCTGAGAGACCAGGGCTAATCAGGACATGAGCGAGGCCCTAGGCTTAAACTGTTCCTCTAATGCCACAGGGACAGCTATATTTCTGGGCCAGCCAACCCCTATTTGCTTTCAATTCTAGTGAAATCAGCTGAGAATGTGTTGCAATTTGTTTTATTCAATTACATAACCCACAATAGGTCCAAATAAAAAATCCCATTGACTTTTGGCTGGCAGACTCTAATAACCTATGCCTTACCTTTTCATCGGCTTGGGTGAGCATTCTCTCTCCAGATTGGAGGACGTATGCTTCACGTGCATTGCATTATAGGAAGTGTGAGTATAGTCATTCTCATCGCTGTAGTCAGGACCAAGTAACGTCCGGGCCCAAGTTCCCATGTCATAAGGAGGGAGGGTTCCTCCAAATTCAGAGGGCAAAAACTCAGGGTGTATTAGTTGGTGGAGGCTGTTTAAATTGTTTCCATGAAGGAAAATCTGGAAAGAAAAAAATTGTTACCAGTAAAAAATTGGAAACATATGACCATGTATTTTAATATAATGCACAATTTAGCAATGACAAATTGGATGCACAACTGGTGATCGTGATGTTTAAAGAGGCATTCGTTTGGTGCCTGTAGCTTAGTCTTCATAAGATTTAATTTATTGCTCAGAAAAGGGATTGAATTAATAGTCATTAAAAATGAAGTTTATGAATAGATTGGGTATTATTTGGCCATGGCCCAAATTTACACATAGAGACATCGCCTAATCATCCCTGCTGATGAAAGGAGCAGTGGCGCAGATCATCCAAAACCCAGATGGTGCTTCACGTAGACCCCAGCCTGCCTTGTTCTGCCCTCCTAGCATGCTCACCTTCTGTGTCCTCCCACCAGAGTCCTCCCCACCACGTTCAGTCTGTACCAAATGGCAGCTGTACCCTGCCCTCATGATGCCGCCATTTCTGTTCCTCCCTGCCCACCTTCCAATGAACTCTTATCTGTTGACTTCTATTCTTTCCCTAATGTGTTCAGTCATGGCTTGCTTCCCCAGGGAGACACACCTAGGAAAAGAGGTGCTATTTTCTTACTCCTGTTATAGATTCCTCAGCTCACAGAGTGGTGTGGACATGAGGCAGAACAATCAGTTCTTGTTATATAGAATTGAAAGCTATAGCCAGAGAATGTATTGTGCGATGTTTTTGCATCAGTTCCCCATTGTGTCTAGATTGGGGGCCAATACTTACAAATAAGTTTGCATTTTCTGAGCATACAATGGATAGTTTTAGAAACTAGTCAGATAGGGGAGAAAAAGAAAACCTAAATTACAATGATTTTCAGACAGACCCCAACATGGATAAACCATGAATAGGTAAGTACCACTGACTACAATTCAGGAATTGACTAGAAAAGTTGATTTAAAATATGTCTGTATGACTCTGGTTCTCACATGTTTTCAAGTTGCACCCAACTATATGACCATCTTACACATACAAGCATGCATCTCTCTCTCTTTCTCTCTTTCTTTCCCACCAGCCCACCCACCCACCCACACACACACCAGTTAGCCATCATGAAATTTAAGTGTGATTTTTAAAAATATTTAAATATGGAACTCAGGAACTAACACTTACTATCTTGCTCTATATTGTGTACTGATTTTAACTCATGATGTAATGGTATCATTTATAGATGCAGTGGGAAAGAAGTCAGATTTTAAATTCTTTAGAATACTGTAGTTCTTTGGAAAACAATGTGCATTTTCTGACATTGGTGCTGTGTATGACTAAGTCTTAATAAAAATTAATCTCTTGACAAAATTCACTTACTCTGACTTTTACAAAACTCTTCAGAAAGTGCTGTAGTATTCGAAGCATCCTAGAGCTAAATGTTGTCCCTTGATTTAGAATAAACACTTATACACATCTAGCCCACACGTCTTAAAGGAGATGAAATACTACTAAAGCTACTTGGAGCCCTGTAGGGTGGAAGAGCACAGAGGCAAGAGGCCAGAACTTCCTCCCATGCATCTGATTCTTCCTTGAGCCCAGAGCTCAGAAACTCACTTCTTTGGCACAGTAGTGATGTCAGTTGTGGGAAGAATTCCTATGGTCTCCACCCTGGATAGAAGATGAAGGCACTGGATAGCCTGAAACTACATGGTAAGCAAAATGTCTACTGAGCCCCAGGACAGACTGCAAAGTGTCTAAGAACATCTCTGCCTTGCTTGGGGACAAGGACATCACCCTTTACACCCCGTACTGGAATGTCACCCAGGGACCTAAAAGCATCCAAAGTCTAGGAGTTAGGAACCCTTCATGGGATGTGTGTGTTGGAGGCAGGGAGGGGAGAGGATCTCTTGTTTCATTACTCCCCCCTGAATACTAAGAGGTCTACCCTAACCCTAATCCTAAACCTACCCTGGTTGGATCCTTTAGATGTAAAGGCATACATGCAAAGTTTTGTAAGAATGATGCTCCCAGATTCCTTTGATGAATGCTGCTCTTGACCTAGGAGGTGGCTGAAATCAGTAGATTGCAGAACTACTCACCACCACAAAGATATGGAAACAGCCTAGGTGTCTTTCATGGATGAATAAATATGAAATGGAATATCATTCAGCCTTAGAGAAGGAGGTCCTGCCATTTGCAGCAACATGGATGAACTTGAAGGACATCATGTCGAGTGAAATAAGCCAGCCACAGAAAGATAAATACTGCATGAACTCCCTGGCATGTGAGATCTGAAAACAACTGAAACCATGGGAGCAGTTAGAATGATTGTGGCCAGGGCTTGAGTGAAGGGTAAGGGAGGAAATAAGGAGATGCTGTTTAGAAGATACAGAAGTTTAGTTATGCAGGATAAATAAATTCTGCAAATCTAATGCACAACACAGTGGCAATAATTAATAGTATTACATTGTATAACTGAAATTTTAAGAGAGTTCATCTTAAGTGTTTTCACTACTCCAGAAACAAAACTATGTGAGGTGATGAATGTGTTAATTAGCTGGATTGTAGTGATCATTTCACAATGTATACGCATATCAAATCATCATGTTGTACACCTGATCTATTTTTATTTGTCAAGTACACCTCAATAAAGGAAAAAGTTCAGGCAGGTGTGATGCAGCAGGTTAAGCCACTGCTTGATATGCTCATATCCCATGTTGGAGTGTTGGTTCAAGTCCTAGCTGTATTACCTTTGATCTAACTCCCTATTAACATGTCTGGGAGGCAGCCAATAATGGCTCAACTACTTTGTTCCTTGCCACTCATGTGTGAGACACAGATTGAGTTTCAGGCTCTGGGCTTCAGTCTGGCCCAGCCCCAATTGTTGTACCATTTGGGGAGTGGACCAGTGTATGGAAAATCATTCTCCATTCTCTTTCTCTCATTCTCATTCTCTCTCTCTCTCTCTCTCTCTCTCTCTCTCATTCTCTTCTCCTCTACGTCTCTCTCTGGTCATTTTGCCTTTCAAATAAGTAAAAACAAAACAAAACAAATCCTTGAACTGAGCTAAACGGCAAACAGAAATGAAAGTCCCCAAGCATTTGCCCCAATGCCTTGTGCTACATGCCCTCCTACACTGTCTCATTAAGTTACCCTAACAGCTTCATTAGGTGGATTTTAGTTTCCTTTTGTATAAATAATAGGACTGAGACTCTGAGCAGTTAAGGAATTTTCAGTTGCTCAGATAATTAGAAGGCCACAAAAGCCCAGCTCCAATGAAAGAGGCAGGCTCCTCAAGTGTCAACTTATGTCAGTAAGATTTTAAATGCCTCTTGATAAGAGCATTATTTTTTCCAGGAAGGAATGCTTGCCCAGTCTGACAGGTGATGGAGAGGGCAGTTATCACCCAAGAGCCATTGGAAAAAATATTATAAACATTCTTATAGTAGTGATACAATTGCAGGACAAAATGCTAGCTATTAAAATATTCTGGGGCCACTGTTTTTGGCACAGGCTAAACTATTGCTTGCAATGCTAGAATCCCATATCAGAGTATCAGTTTGAGTCCCAGCTGCTCTGCTTCTGATCCAGCTCCCAGCTAATGTGCCTGGGAAACAGCAGAAGACAACCTATATACTTGAGCCCCTGCCACCCACATGAGAGACCAAGCTCCTTCTTGGCTTCAGCCTGACCCAGCCTCAGCTGTTGCAGCTATTTGGGGGAGTGAACCACCAAATGGAAAATCTGTTTCTTTATCTGTCTCTCCCTGTCTCTCTGCCACTCTTTCAAATAAATAAAATAAATCTTAAAAAAAATTCTATGAACAGGAAGTGTTTGCCCCAATAGCACCCATAAACATTTACAGAGCAACGGGCATCTGGTATTTGGATGCCTCCAAAATTTCTTTCAGATTGTCACTGGGACTCTGAAAATAACCCAGTTCTACCAAATTACTGATTAAATCCAGGCCATTTGTAAACTCCAGCTGAGATACAAATGCTCAGGGGTTGGTTGCCAAAATCCACAGTAAAAGATAAGGTAGTGAAGGGAGTGGAGGAGAGGGAGACAAGGGCATCCATTATGGTCCCTCTGGAATTTACATGACGTGTATGTTTTCATTACCCGCTTCCTGGTCTTGTCTTTAAGGAATGGCTTGATGAGTGTGTACAATGCGTGAATGTACCAGGGCTGGTTGACGAAATGAACTCCTCCAAAGCGAGCAGGAAAGCTGTCCTGTGGCATAAAGAAAGAAAGAAACACACCAATTAATAAGCACTCCTGGTTAGATGGGATCAGCAGGACTGCAACTGTGAAGCATGATTTATTTCTTCTCCCTGGTTGCAGCTCTAGCCTCCTGCTGAGGAAGGAAGAAAACATGCTTCCTTCCCAGTTGTGCATGGTCCTCCACTCCTTTTACCTTTTCCCTCTTATTGCCTTTGGCTCCACAACTTGAAAATTGTGTATAGGTGAAGTATGAGACCCGATTTTTCTGCATCCGAGTGGTACAATCTCCCAGATGGCACAAAGAATGGGCAGCCTGGGTCGAGGCTGGGGTGGGGCATCTGAATTCTTCATGGTGTTAGGTAACCAAGGCTCCCATTTGTACCTGCTATAAGCAGGTCTTCTCTCTCTTGCTCTCTCTTTCTCTCTCTCGCTCTGCTCTTGCTCTCTCGCTCTCCCTCCACCCCCATTCTCTCCTCCTCCTACCCTCTATTATGACAATCACAGCATTTTCTGGGTGAATGAATGCTGGCTGTGTAGGAAGAGGGTGTGAAGGGATTTCAAAGGATCCGCAGAGATGAGGTTGCTGGGAATCTACCAAAGTCTAGCAAATGTTTCTCCCACATCCTCACGGATTATTCTACTCTGGGGCACAGGGCAGATCCCAGGGAATAGAGATTTGCTAATTGCTCAGCTAGTTGGTCCTCCTAGTGGAGGAAAGATGAGCACACTTTTCTGCAAATCAACACCTTTTGTAAACGCTTTGAAATATGAACATTTTTTAAATAGTTCCAATTTTGGTATTCAGATCAGGGCACATAGTGATGTTTTAGAAGCCGTGAAGCTGCACTCTTGCTAATTAGATACCTGGGACAAATGTGCTTGTCTGTAAAGTCTGAGTTTGTTCTACAAAACCAAGTTTTCAGATCCTGGTAAATGTCTTCAGCAGATTGAGTTATTCTCAGCTGAAGGAATCAAAAAAGAAGGACCATGCAAATGCTATTTAAATTGACAAGTTTGCTGTCAATCTGCTTCATTGCCATAAACATGTTTATAAAATTTAGCAAGGTAAGATGAAAGCAGAGGAGGCTGGCTATCTAAACTAGCAATTCAGGCATGGAGCTACTCCCTATGGCTATAGGAACTGCCAGGCGTGGGTCTTTTTTTTTTTAGGAACAAAGAAAGAGCTTTATTAACTTTTTTCAGAACCCTTTTAGTCTATAGCATCCCTAGGCATCTTCCATGCTGAGACCTGGTTTCCAATGTAAGGACATGGAAATGTGCTCAAGGGCTGACATTTGAAAATTTAAGAATAATTTTTGCTTCTTTATAGGCATTTTATAAAATAGAAAGGAATTAAAAGTTTTAAAGGCTAAGCTAGAAAATTTTTATAAAAGGTCTGTGCTTTTCTGAGTTTATTTATTTGTTTTTTAGCTTATTAAAAAAAGAACATTCCCCAAAACTTTGTATTTGTGACAAGTGTCACACACTAGCATCACTATTTTTGGTCCTTGTGACTTCTTATTCAAAGTATAACTTGTTAACTCACACAGTAAATGTGAGTTCTGAGAAATGATAGGACACAAGTAAAGCTCTTATTTATAAAACCAGGGTTTTATTGTCATTTTCAAAAGGGCCAATAAGAAGGTTTGTATTTCTGTTCATTGTCCTTTGTGTTTTATATTTCTCAGTAAAATGGAAGAAAACTCTAAATAATGCTCAACAAATAGTAGGTAAAATCACAAACAAAATATTAACCTTTTAAAAATATCTTGAGACTCTTAGTTTTAGTCCATGGAACCGCAATTATCAAAAGCTGTCTTTGGCTGGCGCTGCGGTGGCTCAATAGGCTAATCCTCTGCCTGCGGCGCAGGCACCCTGTGTTCTAGTCCCGGTCAGGGCGCCAGATTCTGTCCTGGTTGCCCCTCTTCCAGGCCAGCTCTCTGCTGTGGCCCAGGAAGGCAGTGGAGGATGGCCTAAGTGCTTGGGCCCTGCACCCCATGGGAGACCAGGAGAAGCACCTGGCTCCTGCCTTCGGATCAGCGTGGTGCGCTGGATGCAGCGCACCAGCCACGGCGGCCATTGAAGGGTGAACCAACGGCAAAAGACCTTTTTCTCTGTCTCTGTCTCTCTCTCTCACTGTCCACTCTGCCTAAAAAAAAAAAAAAAAAAGCTGTCTTCTATGTGTGTCAGGGAGATTCAAAAGAAAAAATAAATCATAGGACTGAGAGCCTATAAGGTCTCTCTAGGTTGGTCCCAGTCGGTAAGTCTGCCAGATTGAAGGTGTGGGCTTTTACTGACCTCATTCAAGTCAGCCAGTGAATATGTACAAATAAACACATGAGTGTTGGAGTTCTGGACTTGGGCCAGAGGTGAAGCAAGATTAATGTGGGCTAGGCAGATAGTGAGGGACAAGAAGATAAGAATCTTCCAGCAGTCTCTATGCTGTAGCCCTGCACTGCTAAAAACTCCACCCCTTCCAGGGCAATTTGAAATACTTTTTCCCATGATGCATTTGAGCTCCCCCTGATCTGCAAAAAGTCACAATAATAAACATGTGTATGCTGACTTCTACTTGGAGATGCCATGAAAGCTTCCCAGAGATCTTTACATGCAATGAAGCGTACCCAAACTCCATCACATTCATATATTCAATTAGAGTACTCCTCCTACATGACAAAAGGGTCAGCCGAACTGGGGTGGGGTGATTCTCCCTATGAGGTTTCCCGCACTCATATTTGAGTGTGTGTTGTCTCTTTGCCTTTCAATAAATCCTGCTTTTCTGCTCACTTCTATCTACGTGAGAAGACAAGAACTGGGAATAAACCCAGCTAGGTGGAAAGCCAAGACACTCTGGCAAAAAGATCTCTGTGAGTGAGATCCAGTGAAAGAACAGTCTCTAGAGGAGTGCTTCTTCTGAGGAGGAGAGACCTCCACTTTGACTATGACGTGTCTAAACAAGATAAGAAGTCGGAGACTCAAGGGGCTTCCATAGCCTTGGAAACTCATGACTGGTGCATAGGGAGATTACTGATGCCATAAACAGGAGTGTCAATTTGTAAAGTCAACAACAGGAGTCACTGTGCACTTACTCCTCATGTAGGATCTCTGTCCTTAATGTGCTGTACACTGAGGCTTAATGCTATAACGAGTACTCAAACAGTGTATTTCACTTTGTGTTTCTATGGGGGTGCAAACGATTGAAATCTTTACTTAATGTACACTAAACTGATCTTCTGTAAAAAAAAAAAAAAAAAAAAAAAAGAAATTATCAATTCCCAACTTGACTCTCACTGGGATTAAACATGACAAGAAGTCTGATCTGATTTCATCATCATTTAAAAAAAAATCATTTATTATTTTTCACTTTATGTTTCTGTGTGGGAGCAAACTGTTGAAATCCTTACTTAAGGTATACTAAGCTGATCTTCTGTATATTAAGATAATCGAAAATGAATCTTGATGTGAATGGAAGGGGAGAGGGAGTGGGAAAGGGGAGGGTTGTGGGTGGGAGGGACGGTATGGGAGGGGGGAAGCCATTGTAACCCATGAGTCGTACTTTGGAAATTTATATTCATTAAATAAAAGATTAAAAAAAAAAAAACCCAGCTAGGGATCTCCTACCAAATCCCCACAGTGGAGTCACTTTCTTCAGGTCTGTTCTATGAAATTCACATAAAAGGCTCTCCTGTCTGATAAATGTAAAGTGCAGTTGTTTGAAGTATTACTATATGAATCTAGCCACATTATTAATAATGTTGAGTGACTGAGTGTGTGTGTGTGTGTATGTGTGTGTGTGTGTGTGTTGTGCAAATGGGAAGGTGAGTATATTAGTACTCACAGTCCCCTTAAGTTAACGCCCTTCTTTGTTGGTCACCTTTGCCCGGTTTCGTTAGCAAGTAGAAGGCAGATACCAGGAAAGTTGTCAGTCTCCCTTCCCCTAAGGGAGCCCCCTGTCCTCATAGAAATGCATTTCTTAGGGGCTGGAGTAGATCTCTCTCAAGATGGTAAGCCTTGATTCAGTCACAGTGTAGCACCATGTGTTTCAGAGTTCTTGGGAACTACAGAATAAGTACTCAAACATAAAAGAAAATGGTAATAATTCTGTCCATTTATATTTGTATCAATAAAAATACAATATAGCTTCAAATTATAGAATGTTGTTTCCCTCAGCTTATTTTTAATTCATTGCATGGGTTTCTTTGTTACAAGAATAATATACATTCTAGGGAAGTCAAATATAGATTTTAAAACATTGTTGGAAAAAAGACAAAAAAGAAGAAAAGCAAAACCACCTATTATCCTACTGCTAAAGAAATACTGATTACTGATGATCTTTATCCTTCAGCATAGGCTACGTGATATTATAGTAACAAGAAACCTTGGCTTTCTTTAATCATTTGAAACTGTAAAGGGGAGAGCATTTGACCTAGCAGTTCAGAGGCTTGCCTCCCATCTTGTAGTGCCAGGGTTCATTTCCCATCTCTAGCTCCTGACTCCAGCTTCCTGCCAATGCAGACCCTGGGTTGCCAGGGTGATGGCTCAAGTTGTTGGATTTCAGCCACCCACACAGGTGACCTGGATTCATTTCCCAGCTCCCAGTTCTAGCACAACCCAGCCTCAATCATTTTGGGCATTGGGGAGTGAACCAGAAAACTGGAACTCTCTATCTGACAATCCATTTTTCTCTCTGTCCCATATATAAATATATAGCTACAGATATAGATAGATAAATAGGTGGATAGATAGATTGATAGATAGATCCATCTATCTATCTGTCTATAATATGTGGGGGAAAATACTTAAGACATATTAAAAACTGAGGAGGAGGAAAGAAACAAAATAAAGCAAGAGTTTCTATACTTCTCTTGTACTGGTAAAATGTTGATATAAAAAGACTGAAAGTTATGAATATATAATGTAATTCCTAGAGCAATCACTGAAAAATTACACAAATATGCTCGGTATTGCTACAGATAAATCCAAATTGAACACAAAAATATTTAGAATAC